CGCTAAACCTACCAACATCCAACGAATTCACTCCTTCCAATCGAAAGTCCTGAGAATTATAGTGCTCCTTACTATGTCTCCAACGCATCCGTTCACAATGACCTCAAAATACTCTTGTAAATAAATTATTCCCGGCTAAATTCACCCAGTTCCACGACAAACTCTCCACTCACCCCAACCCACTAGCCGAATCCATGTCCAACATAATCCATCCCTACAATCCTGTCCGCCGATTAAAGCGGAGAGAGCCTCGGGACCTCCTCATCAAGGTCTAACCTTGCACAAAACTGGGATACCCACAATGGTTGGCGACTTCCCTCAAGGCATGTTATAAAGTGTATAATGTAAATATGTAAATAATCTCAATTTACGAGATGTATACAGGTAGTAATTAAAAGAAATAGTGCTACACTTTTCTTGCTTTCACCTCGACTGCATCAATGTTATGTCAACTTAACTGTTTCAGTTGTGCCGAAACCTAATCGCGTATTTAATTGTAAATTTGTTAGGAGGTATACTACGCAAAATATGACAATGGCTATGTCACACAGATAGAAAAATGGAAAAATTTTAATTTACGATATTTATCTTAGTATTTGAAAACACTTCTCGGTACAATTTTGAAATTCCTCTTTATTCATTATCTTATTTCAATGATTATTATTTACGTACCTGTCTGAAAAATATTTCCCAATCGTAAACTTTAATCACCGTCTAATATAAATAATTAATCGAGCAGTTTAGCTTCAACTCCACTCGATATTATCTATACATCGAGTATTAGTTTTTAAAGTTTAAAAATGTCTTGACAAAAAAGTATGATCGATTTTTAATAATGTTCATATATTTATTTAGAAATCGTGAGATGCGGTTTGGTGAGATGTAGGTTTCAGAAAAACATTTCCTTTATCGTGCCAACGTTTCGATCTTTTATTGAGATCATCTTCAGGGCTCAAAGTGTTTGCTTTTGTGTAATTGTGCCATCCTTGCGTGTCGTGTTGAGAGTGCTCATATACATGTGAAACCACATTCATATGTATTTTTCGACTTATTTCATTGAGGATAGAGGACCTTTTAAATTAAGTAAATCTTAACGCAACTGAAACCTGAAAATCCGTAGGATCTCATTAGATTTTCTCTTTGGTGCCTAATCGGAATCACATAAAATCGAAACTAATTAAACGCCCGTTAGTACGGTTGGACTAAATTGTATTCATTACATACAATCAATGTATTATTCCTTAACAATGAGATTATACATTGTTACAGGCTTGAAGGAAAAATAATTTGTCTAGAACAAGGGTGGACTATATTTACAGTCCTTGCCATATTAATAAATAGAGGATTGCAAGCCAAATCATACTGTTTGTATACAAATCTGTGTATTAATGAACATGAATTGTTAATGCAATCATCGGACGATTCAAAATTGATAACTCATTTATATAAAGCTCAAATCTACGTTCGTGTACAGAGTTCTATCTCGCAGTTCACCGGCAATTCCAATTAGTAATTTACAATAAATTACCGACAGGCCTCGAGAATCATCCACCCCGTGTGCTGGCCGTGTGAGTCCGGGGTCAGACGGCCCCAGGGGCTATCAACAGTTAGGTCGTTTCCGCTTACAACGCCATTAGTCTCTCGTTCACAATCTCACTAACTCACATACATACATGGAATAAATACATTCTTCCATATTTATATGCCATTTAGTCAGTTAGGGTGGTGGAGTACTTGTTATTGTTATCAATATTGCTCCATCGGCTCTCCCACACTTTTTGCTAATAAATACGTTCACCATCACACCACCACAATCACTTGGGACGATACAAGACTGTCAGTACTATATACAATAAAACGTCTAATTTCCTCCAAGAACTGGAACAGGGGAACAAGATACTCCCAGCTATGTTCAAGCTTAATGCTCGTATCGGGTGGCATTTCTTAGGCGGGGAAAACACCCGATGCAACGCTATGCGACGCTGCCAGGTGCTACCCGACGCAAATCCAAAGTCCAATTTTCCATAAGGTTTATTGCCCGATGCTTAGGGGTAACTAAACTTTCCAAATTCAGCCCTAGTTACACTGGGAATGGATTCGTGGTGGCTCGTGGTGACGCCTCTGGCGGGAACTTAGACAGAGGCTGTCTTCTATCTGTTATCTTCGTGAAGCTTGCGTAGGGCCAGCGAAATTACCCCCGGCCTCACGGGAGACGTTGCGACCGGACGACAGCGTGTAAGTGTTGAGGACGCGATGATCATGCTGAATAGTCCCTCGAATGCGTGAGTAAGCGAACGGAAACGGGTAGTGAATCGGTGTCTCTGACTCGAGTATGCTTTGCATTGTTGTGCGTATGACCGGCGTGATACTCTTGGGGAAGCGAAGGATCAGACCACCTAGGCTGAGCTTATGGCGTCCCTCGAATGCGCATGACAGGTGTAGGCTGAACTCGATAAGAGACTTTACCGTAGGCGGTGCTCATCTAGGGTGTGGTTAGCAATTCCACTTTAAACTAAACCGCTGCCGGGGCGTTCCCGGAAGTTTCTACGCTAGGGGAGCCCCTACACTCACGGAGTTAGAGAGGCCGTCTCTATCTAGGGAGTACACAGGAGAACAGGCTGATGTATTTCAGCCTGTTAGCCTTTTGCGTGCGGCATACGACCCGATGCACAATGCGGGCCCGGCCATTCGGAGTGGACAAGCGGAGAGAGAGGGGTTGTCTCGGCCCTTAGAGCCTGGGGAGCCTCTACACCAACACTGCGACGGTAATACCATTCCGTCGTATGCGGAAGTGCGTCAGCTCTCATCTTGAGAATCAAAACGTCCGATAAGGCCGAATAGGGTAGGTGCGGACGCTAAAGATCCTCTTGTCTTGTTGACGATGAGTTCTCGGGAACGGAATGCCCGATGCACCGCTACCTTACTCAACGCTCTGCTATCCCCACTGCCCAGATTTTCGTCGGGTAGCATCTAGTACAGTCGAAGACAAAAGAACCGGACACTCATATTTTTATTCAAACTACATGTACTATTGTCGTTATATTAATTACAACATACTTATTTTAATATAAACCAAAAATTAACCAGGATCAAAAAATCATTAGTTTTTATTTAAAAAAAAAAAAAAAATTAATGGTTTGGTAGAAAATTGATCAAAACACCGGAATACGATTTTTTGATATAATGAATTTAACTAACAATTTATTACACGGTTTTGCTCAAAATAATGCATTAAGAACAAAAGAGGCGTTGCGATTGTGATACTGATTTGTAATTCATGCTGTGTGACTACGTGGCGTGCGCTTGACGTCGGATAGATGTGCATACCCTACCAAAACGTGGCAAGGTGTCGGGTAGCGTCGCATAGCACTGCATCGAGTGTGTCCCAGCTTTACGCGCTGTCTTATGAAGCCAAGGAAATTGCACCCTTCAATTAGGTGGGACAAATCGTACAACCTTTCTCTGCATGCCGGACATGTACGTGTGTCAACCTCGCTTGGCCTATTAATCGGGTGAGGATGATTTTCTTTTGAGATTTCATGCTTCATTCGTTTCATTTTAGTTAGTCCGGTCATTTTATTATGTTCAGGGGTTGGTCTGTGCGCCCACATGATATGTCCTGTTTGTAATTACACCTGAATGTGTCAAAACAGCTACGCAGGCCTTGACCCAAAAGTAGGTGTCTGTGTGTCAACCTCGCATGGCATTCCTTAATCGGGTGAGGATGACCTCTCTTCTACGAGTCAGATCCTCCAAGGGCCACGTATCGACAGTGTTCTTGATAGTGAGACCTTCATTACCCATTACCGACGCTGCCCCTTTCTTTCATTGTATTTGTGGAGTCAGAGGGTATTGGAAATTTAAAATGTTTATTTTTTATGCATTTAATGTAATTGTTAAATATCATAGTCGTCGAAATCGAAAAGGCCTGTCCGGAATTTTTTGTTGCTTGCTTTTTATTTTTCTGTCGGAATGTTTCAACGTAGAAAATATTTTATGTACGGTATTTAATTTCGTTTGGGTTTCTATTTGATTTAAATTACTTTATTTTTTTATTTTCGTTAGTGTAATATTGTAGTAATCTATTTGTCCATAAACTTCAATTAAACGATTTTCTTTTTAATTTTTGTAGGTTTTTATTAACTTATAATTTGAATATTTAGACTGTAGTAATCTGTTATTTAAATTACTGCTTGCAAGATTTGAGATTGCTGAAGTAATTAAACGAAGTTTGAAATATTATATTATTTTATTAGGTTATTACTGTAGGTTTAAAGCTTTTTCATAAATGTTTATAAAATTTACAGTTGTGATATGAAACTTTCAGGCATGAAGTGTTATATTAATTAAATAAACAAATATTTCTAAATAATATACCACCCTGCGTTTAGTTGTAGTCCTTTTAGCAAAAACGAATCGCGCTTTTTTTAATTTATGAAAATAAATTGAAGCGTGTTGAATTAATCGATTATGAAGGGAAAGTTAAGCTTTTAAAAACGACGCAATTTCCATCGTCACTGTCGCCTTATATAGTGTATAAAAGGCATTATATTAAAGAAAAGTTTTAATTTGAAAATATCTTGACCGAGTTTTCAGTGGTCGTGTTTACAGAGAGAAAATTATTCTTTGAGCTCTACTTTGAAATTTATGAATTAACCATCGTTCTACTCTCAACAGGATGTGGATACTTTTTACTTTGCGGTACTGCCTACCAGTAAAGAACATTTTAACCGTCGGTTTTAACCTCGGTTTTGAACTGGTCTAAACTTTTTGATAATAGCGAGAGATTTTTTTTTATTATTACAGACGTATGGGAAATTTATTATGGTCAAGCCCATGCGGATTTGCGAATTGGTAGGTTTGGGATTCGAAAACCGAGGAAACAAAAAACAACTACCAACTTCAGACTTTGAAAGTAAAGTTTCTGTTCTCTTTTAGAGGTAATTTTTAACGGCTTAAATAATTAGCTTCGGCCCTAACACATTAGGCCGGGTTTATCTCCCGGCTGGCCCGTTATCAAGGTCTGCCTTGTGCGGTTATCTCGTGTTCCCCCTTTCACTTTCTCCACATTGCCCCTTTCCTATTTATTGCCGAGGACGAAAACGTAACTGAGCTACAGGTCACTACGTTTTTAGTACTTTGGAAAACGAACAGTTTCTCAACTTGTCCCGAGGGTAGCATCAATTCCCTTTTCGAGTTGTCGATAGCTATTACCGAACTTGTTGTTAGTTATTTCTTTTTTTTTTTTTTTTCAAACATTTCAGTTTGTGCAATATGTAACATTTCCTCAAACATTAATTCTAAACTGGTAAAGATACTGTGTGATCTTAGGACTACGGAGTGATGAAGCTGTTGTTTTGCTTGTCTTTCTATTTGGGTCTGTCAGATGTGTTTTGGCATTTTACTATGATCAGTGGTTGTGATGGATCTTTTTTGTCAGTTTGTCCCACCCTGCTTATAACCCCGACCCACTCGTTCTCCAGCCAGGCAGGCCAAAGCACGGTAAGTCGGTAACGACAACATATTGTATGTTGTGCAATATTGCTTAAGTTTCAACAACCTTCTACAATAACCATTAACTTATTTCTTTCTATGATAGTTTATTGTAGAAATATGAAATTTTTGTATGTTAGGCCTATATTATTTTTAAAAAATTCTTTTTATTGTGTTTGGGTGTTTCCAGTACATTTATCGATAACTGCGATATGATTTATGTTTTTTTGGAAATGTACTGAAAATATGAATATTCCAGGATATATCAGGTCGCATAGAAAAGTTTGATTTGAGAGATCAGTAAGAAATATTTAAAAAAACGCGTGTTTTTATATTATTAATATACACTCAAAGACAAATACCGGGCACTTGTATTTATTTGTTTATTTTCCATAATACCTAGGTCAATTAATAGCTGACTTAAAACGTAAACCTTACATAAATAACGTGTGCACCTTTGTAGAGTGTTACTCATCCTTTTACACTCTTCATAGTAAAAATAAAGAATATATCTAGTGATTTTATTAGTTTTCTAATTTTTTTCGTTTATGAAACAAGAGAATTGAGTAAAACATTAATAATTATTTTTTTCTTAAAAGCATGATTTTAAGTGGATAAGACCTCGCAAGATAGCGTGATTTAGCACTCCTAAATGCCATGCCCACAATTAAATCCTGTTAAGCAGCACTTTGCGCAGATGATATAGCGTTTTTATGGAGTTTTACATGCAAGTCGAATCTGCTAAAAATACAAAGGATGCTGAACAAATTCTTAAGGCTAGTCACATCATCTCGCAGACGGACCAGGTTAGATCAGCTTCACAGTGAAGCTGACATATCTTGGATTTACGACGCGGTTACAGCACAAACCATAAATCTTCAGTATAAACTCGCCTCAAATAAGAACGTCCTCTGCAGATCGATTGGAAATTACGACACCCAGATTCCTTGGAAGCACAACCGATTGAAAACAATCTTGCACTAAATAATTTGTATATGCACGTGTCCACACGCGTTTAACTTATTTTTCTATTTATTTATTCTTGTAGTATAGTTACATGTACATTTGAACATACACATGTCCACACGTTACATTTACTTACCTAATTAATTATTTATTTATTCTTAGCGTATGGATACACTTGGGTTCATGTGCATATGTATGCAATCACATATTTATTTGTGAATGTATGTACATATTTATTTGTTAAATAATTAATTATTTATTCCATTTATTTATACTATTTATTCATTCTATTTATTTACTTTACATTTTAAATTATATATATAATGTTTATAGATAATTTATAAGTATGTACATATAAGTTATTTAAACCTTGTTATCTGTCAAAATGTTGATTCACACTCAAAGTTGTCTAAAATTGTTCACATAATTTAAAATCATTACCATTAGTCAAAAGTGTCAACGGTATTTTATAATCAGTTTTCCCCGCAAACGCAGTAGCAGGCTAAACAAGACAACATTGTTAAGGTTGTAGAAGGTTATAAAGCCCAGTGTCTTTCGCACTTTTAACACAGATAAAAATTGGAAAAAGAAAATCAAGGAGTAAAAGTGCCTACTCCGCCTAGCCCGGGTCCAACCAGCCCAACCACACTCCCCCTTAACCAAATAACCCCACCTACCCCAACACTTTCCTCAAGCCCCCAACTGGATTTGCCTTGTGCAAATCCGGAAGGCCCCCCAACATCCCGTACTCCACCGGCCCAATGCTCCACCCCACCACCCTCATCAATCCCATCACAACCACCCTCTCCTTCCTGTGAGGTGGAGAATGACGGATTCATCCCCGTACATGGGAAAAGAAAAAGATACCCACCAAACTCGCCAAAAGGCGTAACGGTAGGAGAGAAACCTGCGCCTGTGTCCCCTGTGTCTCCGGCACAGAAGAAAAGAAAGCAAGAGGAAGAAAAAGAAATTAAAAACNAAAAGAGGAAAAAAAAAAAAAAAAAAAAAAAAAAAAAAAAAAAAAAAAAAAAAAAAAAAAAAAAAAAAACACACAGATAAAAAAAGAATCGGGTTGCAATTTGTATATATGTAAATATTTAGTCAAATATACTTTTTCCAGGGTAGATAGCACAAGTGCTGGGTGTGCCGCTCTAAGGTATATTGAGGAAGTTTTGTCCAATTCGCTCCATTATTAGGGACAACTTCCTGTTAGTCGGAGGATGTAGGGATTTTATAGGCGATGTATAGTCTATACTAACTTAGTTAGTTGTGGGTAGCATGGCACATAATATATGAAGGAGGATTGCGAGTGTGACGGTATTGGCAATTATTTTCACGGCATTTATTACCGTTCTGTAGTTAAAGAAGTGGATGATAAAGGTTGACGAAAACAAATGCCAGTCCAAATTGTTAAAATTTCAAACGTTTCTTTCTGTCCAATCCCGATGTAACAACTTCCACTCCTCATGTTCAGGACATCCCGATCCCTTACTAAACTCGCTTTCCGAGCCCGTCTGCTAATCGATCGCCTTGTGATGTCATCCTAAGTGATAGCGAGTGTCTGCCTGCCATTACACCGAGGTATTAACATTAATGAGTGACTTAATTAACAAAAATAGCCTTTCAACAAAATAATGGTCATGGCATTGGTCCATCAATGTAGTTTGATGTAACTATGGACCTCAGTGTTAAGGCTTGCTTTATAAGCTTCAAATATTTGCATTTTCTATTCATAAGACATAATCATCAGTGACAGGCTGATTTGGTTTATTTATCCTTGACCGTATACTTCGGAAACGGGGTATTGTCGATTCTTCTACATTTTTCCTCCTTTGACCGTTCGCTGTTTCGTTGTCCTTTATCGAATTATTCTAGACCAAATGGTAAATTTCGTTAACAGTTTTGGAGTCCGTTGCATTAAATAATATATTAATAATTTCAGCTCCGATTTCGGATTTTTTAAACTTAAAACCTACGGTATACTCTCAAAATTTTTTTATCCTAAATATGTATTTGCATAATCGATCATATTAATTATTTTAATTAATTATAATTTTGATTTAAGGTCTAGGCTGAGATGAAAAAGTGTCACGAGTAGGATCCCGCATGACATTTGCTTTTTCACATCAACCAGAACCTTAGATTAAAAGTATAATTAATTCAAATTTTAACATATTTCCGTTTCACAAAGATTGAAGCGAAAGGTTAAAATAAACGGAAACAAATTATTTGGAAAATCGCATCGTTGATGGAAACTAAACTAAAAACATTTCTGTGCTGTTTTAAATTTACATCTCGTCGAGTTGAAACGTGAACTGGGTGGGATGCTGCAATATCTCTTTCGAAATTTAGAAGCTCTCGGTCGAATTAAGCAGTTGATCCTCTTGAGTTGTTCGGCACTGTTTATTTTCAATTATCGTCTTTCCTAAATGAATTTCTAGAACAGTATCAGTAAATGTAGCAAAAAAGGGCAGCATTCCATTGTAATGAATTGTAACTGAAGTCCGACTTAATTTTGAAAGGAGCCGATATAGTCTGAGATGTCGACGAGGTCTCTTTCCCCTCCGCTTGATAGTCAGTCGGGAAAGATAAGGAAAGCCTTCAAGACGAAAAGCAATCCTTCTTTTTTATAAATAAGGCAATAAACTAACTCTGCTGAATAAAATAATTTTCATACAAATAAAGTCTGCGGACTTAGAACGAACTTTTCAGGGACACGTTCTCTTGTTATTGCGTGTCTTTTGTATTCGCAGATATTCAGAGCTGTACATCATAAGAAAGTCGATGGCGTATGTTATTGTGGAATACTTGGATTCGTTGGACGTTAGATGGCTCGGTGGGTACTCAGCAGGTCCGCTGTGTATGTTCAAATACGTCGAAGTTATATTTTGGACAGAGTTAGTTTGTTCTGACATGTCTGCATTGAAATGTGACACAGCTAGAACCGATTGTTTTTAATTAAGACAATTTTGATTCAACGGATTCGGCTGATCCAATTCGTGCCATTCGTTCCGACTGGATGTTGATGAATTCCTGAAGGGAATAGAGAGAGTTTCCAGTTGAAATTGGAATTCTTAAATACATAGCCTTACATATCACGGTGTTCAACAGCCTTATCGACCCGTTGAGCAAAGCGTATAAAAAAAGAAACCGCGTTTCTTCAAACCCATTCCCTGTATGAACAAAGAATGAAAAGAAGATTAAGAAACTTGTCGGGCAACTGTTCGTCTTTCTGGTTCGTGAACTAAAGTTATAAAAGACCTCTCTGAACGTTATTCAAGCTGAGGACTTAAATTTCACGACGTTTTTCAGAACCTACCTCTAAATTCAATCGTTGTCAAGGTTCGGGTGGAACATACAAGGAAGTCAAATGTGATTACTACTTTTCTCTCCACGAAAACAGTCGCATTTTACAATTGAATCATTGTTTTCGGACTCTATTCTTATTTTTAATCGATTAAAATCAGTTCATTCGTTGATGGCGAACAGCTGATATACCTTCATTCCCTGTTTTTAACTGTCTGCCATTGCGATTTACATTTGAACTATTTAAATTAATCTTTTATTAGCGTAATTATTAATTTGTAGTTTCAATCTGCAAGTTTCATTTAGTTGCAACCGAATCTTCTGAAATAAACATTGAGACAGGAGGACGCATCCCATCGGTTAATCTGTTTTACAAATTTACATTGCTTTTCTGTCATTTAATTTTTCACACTTCAAATAATTTTTTTTTTCAGGTGAGAAGGCATACTTTACACGGCGAGGCTTGTTTGTCGGTAAGCTATTTCCCAGCAATCTTACGGCATCGAAAAATATCTACACTGATCTCATAAATATCAAAAGTTTCATTTCCCAGAAGTATCGATACAAAAGTGTCGGTTCCCAAAAGTATTGATACAAAAGTGTCGATTCCCGGAAGTATTGATACAAAAGTGTCGGTTCCCAGAAGTATTGATACAAAAGTGTCGATTCAAAAGTGTCGATTCCTAGAAGTATCGATACAAAAATGTCGGTTCCAAGAAGTATTGATACAAAAGTGTCTATTCCCAGAAGTATTGAAGTGTCGGTTCCCAGAAGTATTGATACAAAAGTGTCGATTCCTAGAAGTATCGATACAAAAGTGGCGGTTCCAAGAAGTATTGATACAAAAGTGTCTATTCCCAGAAGTATTGAAGTGTCGGTTCCCAAAAGTATTGATACAAAAGTGTCGATTTCCAGAAGTATCGATACAAAAGTGTCGATTCCTAGAAGTATCGATACAAAAGTGTCGGTTCCCAGAAGTATTGATACAAAAGTGTCTATTCCCAGAAGTACCGATACAAAAGTCCCGATTCCCAAAAACTATATAGTGTTTTTTGTTACATATTGATATAGATCTACAGACGAGTAGATGTTTGGTTGTTTAAAACTTATTAGCCGGTCTTGTTTTTTTGTAACAAGTTACAATGAACGACTTGTTTTTTCACTTGTATTTATTACAGCATATTGTTCAAAGTTTTTAATGTATCATCCACATTTTACTCAGTAATAATCTGGATCATAGGATGGTCTGGATGAAAAAACAAATTCATTTGCTCTGCCATCTCTTCCACCTATTTTACGGTCATCATCAGTACAAAATAATTTTATACGTCTCAAATCGACATAAGTGAGTTTTTAATAGATAATCCACCTTCAAAGAAATTTGAACTCACACACACACACACATTTTCTCTCACTCTCTAATTCTCTATCTCCTTTTCCATTTCTATCTATCTCCCACTCTATCTTTGCATTCTTTCAATTTCTGTTACGGTTGCTTTAGGGCCTATATTGCTTCTACCGTAATCCACTTCTCCTTATACGTCGCTCTGTTTTAATTGTATATTTATTATTAAATAGTATTATTAAGTTAATATTGTGTACTGTCTTTCTTGTTCACCTCAGCAACGAACGGACTTTTGAAAATTCAGCTTATATTATGGCTATGAAACTCGTAATATAAAGTATTTGGTTATTTCAATTTTGTTCTAATTTATATTTTATAAGCAGCTTCGTATTTTTAATTTACTAAATTTAATAACTAGTTAAATATTTGTCGACGTGTGTTCATTTTGTTTTTTAACCGATGGTCCAGTTTGTAGGAAGTTGTTGCCAGGGTGAATTCGACCCGACATCGTCTACCGGCGTAATAAGTAAATTGAATTTTTATTATTTTCATTCCGGTATAAAAACGTAGTTCCTTTTCACTAGAGGCGTAAAAAGGCAATTTGACGTCCGGGTCCGTTCACCGGTGGGAAAACGTCTGCGACGTCTCTCTCGGCCTGGCATGTGCCAACTTTTTGCCAAGCACGTCCGACCACGCTTACAAGTGACCGGTACTTAGAATGAAGATGTTCCCCCTAACGATTTTTCGATATCATCAAACGGAATACACGGCCTGCATCGCAACCCCCCCTCATCAATATACAAAAAGTGAATAAAGCCCTTTCGATTTGCATGTTTTACTGTCACTTTGACAATTTTAAACTCTTTTCCCGGCAGTACGTGAAGTGGTATTGCTCTTTATGTCGCGTCGTAAACCTGCCCTGTTGATATACGTAGGAGCACTAGACCTACGTATTTTGTTGTTTATTTTAAACTGTACGTACTTTTATTGTTATATTAAGTTTTAATAAAAATTGTTTAATTATGATGGTTTGAAAGAAAATTCACCAAATCACCGGAAATCATTTAATGATAGATTAAAATTTAACTAACAATTTATTACCTGGTTTTGCTCTTAATACCATGTCTTATTACCTCTGCCCTCGCGAAGGGCCGTACGTCTAAGCATCGTGTAAATAATGTGTCGGATTTCTTCTTGTGAAACCGAACCCCATTCTTCAAAAAGAGTGGTTTGAAGCCGTTCAATGCTTGTTGAGGCGTTGAACGATGTAACTGTTCTTCATGTGTGATTCATGTCAGGAAAACGTGCCAGGCCAATTCATTGTGGTAATCCTTTCTTCCTCGAAAAAGTGGGTGTCAACTCAAGCTACATGGGGTCAAGCAGCTTCATGAACTAACACGAAGTTGTATCCAATAAATGGAGCTTCCAGAGATCTTTCCCGGTGTATCTTAGTGCAGTCGAAGATCCATTCTGTATGGTAATCAGTCCAGTACTGACAGTCTGAAAACCAGTGACTCATCACTCATCTGTGAAGGGACCAGTTCCCTATTGTTTACGCCAAACGAGATGCTGATTTGCGAAGAGTCCCCTTCTACTCGATGCCTCTCTGGAGTAGAGAACTTGATGAGGATATAGATTAGGCTATTCTCACACTCATTCTATGACTGTCGTAGAGCTAAGCCTTACATTACCGACCGTTTGGAGTTGACTAATAAATAATTTTTCAGTCAAATTTATTGTTTCGACAAAGAAAACAAAAAAAAACTCTCGACAAGTTGGCTCTGGAAAGGATGAAATTAAACTGATTTTTATTTTTTATTTATGTTTTAATGTAAAGAGTGTAAAATGATTAATAACACTCTATAAAGGTAAACAACATATTATTAAGGTTGTGTTTACGTTTTAAGTCATCTACTAATCTTTATACTTATTTATTGTGGAAAATAAACAAATAAATACCCGCCCCGTTTTTTGTCTTTGAGTGCATTATCAGGCATGAGCACCTTGGAAAACCGGGCTAATGGTTTGATAAGCCTCATTTTATCACTTCGAACGTAAATTTGTTCAAAAATATTTATATGTTTGCCTTATCCACGATAAAGGTGTAGTGGAGCTTGCTGGTGATAACTTATTTTTTTCAGCTGAAACGCGTATTTCCTTTGCTTCTTCAAGAACCTTGGCCGTACCCATAAACCAAGGCAACTATAAAGCTGACGCCCTTGCAAGAAAAGGACCCGAGCCCTTCTGTGGCACACACAGGATTCTTAACAGTATAATGCAAACTAAATGGACATCTGAAGAAGATTGGTGTAACACAACGCGGCAAATGCAGATTCTGGAAAGAAGCTAAGGAAACATCAACACAACTACTAATAAACTGTGGAGCCACACTTGTCCGCAGAAGAGATTTAAATATTTTAAAATACGATTTTAAAGTTTTCCTAATTTTTTATTTTGTTCTTCTACACTTTCTCCTTCGGCATTTGTATATTTCATGTACACGTAAGAATTTGTTCTTAAGATCCTAAGATAGTACTCAAAGGAAAAGACGTTTAGGTACAAAACTAAATTCATTACGTCTGTTTCGAAATGCTATATGACGTCTCTAAAGAACATAGACAGAAAATTTAGTTTCATTCTTATTCTGTAAGTCTTTTACTTATTTTTTAAATACATACAACCTCTGAACTTGAAATAATAATAAAGGGAAGAATGTAAGAATGTAGGATTTTTTTGTTTGCAGAGATCATATCAACCCCCGGAGTGCCGGTGTTATCGAAAAACAGCCCATTTGTAATTACATTCAGGGCTACTAAGATTCGAACCGAGTACCTTTACCTTACAGTGATGAGCGCCAATCAGCGCCTAAAAGTTGCAGCCACCGATGCCACTTACATTCATAAACAATTAGTTAAATTTAGATGCTCGTAGGGTTTTGTATTTCTTCTTCAATCGTCTCACAGGTTTTCATGAAATTGAAACAAAATTTAACTTTAGAAAATTACAGATTCGGCGGTCATCTACTTTAAATGTTTGATGTACAAAGGTTCCGTGAATATACAGATAACAACCCGGGCCTGCAGAAGCTGGGTCTAGAAGGGAGAAGGTCATACCACGTTGCGCATAGCTCATACTCATTGAACACACCTTCTAATGAGCGGGGGACCATGGTGCCCTATGAGCTTATCACAGGAGAGCATATAATAACAGACTGGAATGAAAGAAATTCGACATCCCGATGACCTATGCCTTGAGGCAAGGCAGCAAGCACAGATCTCTGATCCAATATTTCAAGGCCAAAATATTTTTAATTCTATATAGTTCTTTATTTCATGAAGGTGATATATGCTATTTATTGGAACGAATGCATTTGTTTGCGTGAATGAAGGGCTTATCTCCCAATCACCCTGACGAAAGAACTCTAGGGTGGTGTGAATGTACGAATCTAACATTAGCGTGAATAGGGAGGCTTATCCCCAGTTACCCCGTGGAATATCGAATACTCTGGCGTAGTGTGGACGACGTCTGGTGTGGAATGTAACTTAACAGCTTGAATGGATGTGTATATCCCCAATTACTCGACATATTACGAACTCTGAGGTTGTGTGAATGCTAACCAGATTTATGTTGTTCCTGTGTATTTTGTTTGTTATTTGTATTTTATCTACAATTGCCTAGGCCCTGAGGTGCAGCTTGACTAGCAATAGGACAAAGAAAAGTGAGAGTTGATTACTGTTACATCATAAAAAGTAATAACTCCTTGGAGAAACGTAAAAGAAATGCAAAACTACGAAAGAGGAGACTAGCGATGACCAAAGTACCAAAGTAGTTTACAAGCCCTAAAACCAACAAAAATCTAATTTCTGACCTTAGACGTTTTCAACGGTCATCCAAGGGGTATCGCCAACGGCTAAAGATTATTCAACGAAACGTTATTTTTTTCAAAAGAAATCTTGCATTTTTAGTCCCAATTGATTACAGATTTCCTAATATTTCTTCTCGTTTGTCCCCTGTTATCTACGAAGTCTAAGGGTTCGCGTAGTTTTGAATAAAAATGGTAATCGACGTTTGGTTAATCCATGAACTTGTTGAGAAAGACGCATTAAATCACCCACTTCAAAAGCGATACTAAAGAAACTTGTCTAGCGTCCCTCTCGGTCGAGGGGCTTAAAAGTTTAAAGTACTTTGACTTAGTTAAATTGATTTGGACATGATAGAACGTGTCTTCCTTCATCTTCGGCCGGATCCAATGGTCAGATTTTAAGATGAAAAAATTTGACCTTAAGGGAAGGGTAGAACCCAACCCGAAAAGCTTGTCTGCAGGGGCAGTTTGGCCTGTTTTCAATGCTTTTGTAACCAAATCGAACCGAAGTCTTTTATTTGCGATATGCCTCGTGCCCATCAATCAATGTTTCAAAATTCCAACCTTTTGTCTGGAAATTTCTTTTTTCCAAGTCGACTAGCGTTCTCCTCCTAATGAAAACAGCAATATCGATTGATATGTATAAAGGGATTCGCAAAATTGAAAGCCATTTCGAAAAGCCGGGAGTAGGATCATTACCGTATCCGGAGTTTTTATCTTTTAATTAATGAATAATGCACTTAGCAAAGCGAAACCGCACGATAACGCTTTCTGAGGCGGTGATAAGTTATAAACAAGGCTTGGATCGATTGCCGGCCACTTTTAGAAAAATGGGCTGTCGTGATTGATGCCTGCCTGCCGTCCAGAAATGACTTGTCTTCATTCACGATCAGGCCACGTTCCAGCTTTGGGTGAATTAATTCAAACTTTCATCACAGTCTGGTACTATTTTTGTTTCTATCAACCCCTTTTATTTTACTCGTTTTTCCTTCCTTTTTAACACGTAAATTATTGGAATAACTGTAAATCAACAAAAATTGATTTATGGTAAAACTAAAGATCAAATATAACCATATATCGTGTTTCTGAAAATTTAATACGTGTATTTTTAAATAGTTTAAATATTTTATAAAAGCTTAGCTTATCATCGTTTTCATATGCTCCAAAAACAGCCCGACCGTCATTGGCTTATCAAGTTGATACAGCGCATAAATTAATGAATGGGCTCTCTGTTATTCTTGTTCAAAACACCAACATAAAATGAAATATCAATGAAATGTCGGTCAAATTAATAAACATGTTACATAGTTGTTTTGTGGATTCTTCCGCCCACCTCCTCCAGTAAAGCAAAGCCAAAAGGAGCAATGAATAATTAACATGTGTGCCCCGTTTAATTTATACCGTCCGTCATAAATACCCCTGGATTTTATACGTTATTAGTATTTCGTAAAAATTCAAACATCTTGTTCCGCGGAAGGCTTTGTTTTGTTGCATCCCGAACTTTCGCCTTCGTAATTTATCAAAACTGTCAACTCGCCTTCTCACGTAACGAGAGTAGAACACGCCTAACACATTTTTCATTTAATTAAAAATTATTAATTCTTTACTGTAGACAGCGAAGTCTGTCTCTATGAACAACCTGGCTAACAAATTTTCACTTATTTTTGGACCATTGGCCAAAATGCCTTTGTTTGCGAGTGTATGTTGTCAAGCTTATTCAATTGAAAGACGAAATGATCTAAGAAACCTTGCTCTCTCACTCTCTCTCACTCTCTCTCTCCCCATCTATCTATCTATCTATCTATTGGGTTGTCCGGAAAATAATGCAGGATTTTGGTATTAAACAAAAAAAAAGAAACTAGTTACTTTAAAGCAATGTTCTTTAATCNTTTACTTGCTTCATTCGTCAAACATTACTCTAATGCACTTCATAGTTCAAACGTTTATCGTACCTTCTAGGATCAAATTTTCACCCAAGAATGTTTTCAGTTATCTCATTTTCTCTCTCTCTCTCTCTCTCTCTCTCTCTCTCTCTCTCTCTCTCTCTCTCTCTCTTTCTTTCTAACAACTTCAACTTTTGTATGCCAATCATCCGATCGGGAAACTGTTTTATCCGGCCCAAACATTTGTGATCCATCACAGATAAGATAATATGTGTTTATATCTCCACCGTATACCCGTACATATTCATTTGATTACCAAAATCCAGATGATACCGGCTCGGATTTGCTTGTTGTTACTGATAAGTGATAGCATTTATCTCAAATGAGTTTAATAATCTAAGAAGAGATTTACAACAGTCTAAATCTGAATAGATAGACCCAAAAACAGTAGTTAATCTTTTTTTCTATTACTAACAATAATAAATATTTATAAAATCTGATTTTTAGAACGATATTCAGAACTTCAGAAGTCATCTTGTATTAATAAAGACACTTTTCATTTCAAGGACGAAAACTTGGTAAATTGGTGTAATTCCACCCGTGTTTAAAACGCACCTGTTATTATTTACAACATCGTAGGAAACTCCACTTTATCATATGTGGTGGTCCTCGCCTGGTTCAGCCCTAGCATCAGATGTGTCTTTGCATTTGCGCAAAACACATAAATTCAAATAATTTAGAAACGACTTGATTATTTAAAATTTATCACTTGGATAGATTGTGTTTTGATACTGTGGTTTAACCAGAAACCAATTAATACTATGCAAATTGGGAAGCCATGTTGGTCGATGAGCTAGTTTCTGAACTTCGCCCTGTAGTCATTAGGTTCTGAGTATGGTATGTTTCAACATAATATTGTCGCCTTTTTACAAATCGTTTTTACGACGAATTTATCATGATTTAAGAATACTTCAGAAGCGTCCGACGTATCGCCAAATGTCTCATCTGAATCTGGTTTAACTGTAGGAAAAGGAATATTAGCACAATTCTTTTGAATTTCCATTTTGGTACCATATATTTCGTTAAGATAGGAGGGCCTTATTTTCTGTTTTTGGTGTTAGTTTTGTTTCAAAACTGACCTTGATGGTGCTGTAACAGTGGCTCGACCTTCTGTAGTCCTAAGGTCCATTTTACTAGTGATTTTCGAAATGCCAGTTAAGAAATATCAACCTTAGCAATAGAGAGCGTGTTAGGCCAGAAACGATCCTGGGTAATGACCGCCTGAAGGATGTGGTCAGGTCCTGCCCCTCCCAGAGTCAGAGAGAATTAGGGCACGGCCTAGGGTCAGTGCCACTACAATTTCTGGAGTAACTGGAACAACCAAAAAATAGGCATCGCACGAAGGAAGGCTAACGGCGTACTATGTTATCGTGTTGAACAAGAAAAATACATTTTTTGCACATTGTTGTCTTTGAAAAGGATAAACCCACGTCTAGCCGACTGTTGGACAAAAGGGACAAAAAAGAACGAATGCACCTGCACCTGTAGCCCGTGTACCGCAAAAGAAAGCGATTGTATTGTAATTTGCATAACATTCTTAACTATATTCAACTAAATTAATCACCACTGATCAGTCTAACAAACTAGCGGATTGTCACACACAAAGCGGAAATAAATTAAAATTTTTTGTATATTTGCTCTTGTCGCATTTTTGCCAGGACGAAGTTCTCTATGCCAGAGTTTAATCAATTTGAGCCTTAAGATGATATAGATAAGTATTTTTTTTGTTCATTTGCGAAACTAATGTGTGAGGTTTTCCACTAATGTTCTGTGAGGTGATGAACCTGTAGTTTCATCATTTTTTTCTGTCTACCCTCATGTTTTTGTCTGTAGGCGCGTTTAGGCTTTTCGCAAT